TACATCGTTTGATGCATTTTTCCAGATCAATTGCCTCGAAAGTGTTCAGCAGTTTCACTCAACAACAACTCAGTGCACTACGGGCCGTACTCGATGGAATTTGTCACATACGGTGTAATACAACCCGCAAAGCTCTACGGCCACTCATTCTTGACGCTTCCCAAACTCTCGTAAGCCTCATATGAATCGTTGATGATTTTTCCCTTCGCCAGCGTCTGACACCAAATTGCTTTTTCCGGCATCGTTTCTTATTGTTTTGATTCGTTCAGAGTGAAACGTTCCAAGATCGAACCGCCCTTCTTAACGTAAGAAACGCCTCTCTCCAAACACTCCACCCTTGATTCCCACTCAATTGGACAATTGGTGTTCTTTTATTCACTCAATTGAAGGTCTTTTATTCACTCAATTGTTGTTCTTCACTTGATCACTTCCTTAGGCGCTTCTTCATTCAGTGAAGCCAAAAGAGTTCGTCGCGCGCTCCTTGCTATCTTCTCTCTCTTCAGTGAGTCAACTGTTCAGAGGTCCCCGAACTGAAAGAATTTCGCTTCACTTTAGGACCTTAACGAAACATTAAACGAAGAGGACCTCAAAACTGCTTTGTGGAAGTTCTCCTCAGATAAAAAAGTACGATTCCCATATGGATCACCGTCAGTTCCTGTTGTTTGCCAGTCTGAGGCCCCCACAGCGCATCTTCAAGTACAGCGCACCCTTCTGGAGGCGGCTGAAAATCAGTTTCTCCTTCACTCCCGACGCTATCCTAGTCTCTTCTATGTTTCTAAAGCAAGTCTGAGGTTTAAATTGCCGAGGTCTGTTCACAAGAAATCCCTGCTTGAACATTCCGATTCAAAAGCTGAGTGTCGAAGGCAGTCCTTCTCTCCCTCTATTACTTCTTCATTCAATGCGGCATCTTCCTTCTATCTCTCAAACAGTCAGAAGAAGTACGACAGAGACGCTTGGTTTGGTTGGTATCTAGATCGCGCCAGTCATCGTTACAGTGGAGGGCCAGAGATTTCAACAGCAGGGGATTCTCCAACCCCTTCCTTTGCATCGTTTCCCCTCCCAGCTAGCGCATCTTCTCCAATCGGCGGAAACACCGCGTTCATCGTTTCTAAGCGCGGCAAGGGACGAAGACTTTTGCTCTCCAACCCTCTGCCTCTTGAAAGCCTCTCGGACGAATCAATCAACCCTTCTTCAAAGAAAAGATCGACTTCTGTTGTATCAACTTGTAGCTCACCCGTCAAGGATGAAAATTATTTTAACCAGCTGGTAAAGTCTCGCGTTTTCTCGTATATATTGCATGGAGGTATCGGTGCCTTGGTTCTACTCGGGGAAAAGGCATTCGAGGTCAACTTCAACTAATTGGCAAAGTCGTTTATAAGAAGATTGCTTCAACCTATACAAAGACCACAACAATAAAAGTGGAGTGGCAATTTTTATTTTTTTCAATCCACGGTTGGCAGATTCCTCATTTTTAGTTGCATTAATTTTTCGTTTTCTCACACGCATGGCTGCACTCGCGTCGGTACTCGATCCTGCTGGCTCTGCTCCAATCCATTTCGATACGGCTGGATATGCAGGAATTTCAACATTTGAACGCGATTTGAGAACACAAAATGCTGGAAAACGGGTCAAGGGAATGAAAGGACAACTTCACGACGTTGTGGCCCTCGATATTGCAGGTTTAGCGACACAGCGCCTTGCAGAAACGACGCAGAACACATCAAAGCGACCAAGTGTGAGTCGAACACATTTGCACCAACTGAAAGACATTTTATGGCGCTCAGACGATTCGTGTGAAAGATGTCAAGATTCAAGACGCCATAACGGGATGTCAACTAAAGACGAAAAAACGCTACGCCGTTGACGACGATTATCGGACCGTTTTTGATACGAGATGGAAGGCGGATCAAGACGGACGTATGGCTCTCTTCTTATCCCGCAAACCAGGAAATGCTCACATTGAAACCAACCCGGATAAAATGGATATGACATCGACATTTCACAGAGAGAAAGCTCTGGGACATTCAGTCCCTTCCTGGAGGAATCCAAGCGGAAACCTCTGCGTGAGTCTGAGTGGCCGTGTTTTCCGATTTGAGCTGTCAGACTTCAGAATGACATGTTTCTTACTGGGAAAGAAGGATCCAAAACACTTGATGTTTTAAAACCTCTGGGAAATCGCGCCTCGCCTTACGAGAACCCTGATGGACCTTTCGAAGTCTCTCCAATTGATCATCCAGCAAAAATTGATCATCTTGACGTGAGTTGAACCATACTTCATTGATACATCATTTGAGTTGATGATTTCATCCCCAATCTACGGCCTCTTCGCGACAGAGGAAATGCATTCCCAGAGAAGATGCTCCACACGTTCTTCAAGGTATTGTCGTGGGGGGGCTCACGGATGAAGTTTACGAATATTTTTTATTTCATTTTTTCTTTAGGAGAAGAGCGAGGACTCAGCGAAGGCAAAAGTCGCATGCGGGTGATGCGGGAACGGTCTCACATTCAACCAAGAGGAGTGAGAGGGGTTGAACAGGAATTGGTTCACTTCTGCGTTTTTAGGGACAACTTGTGGGAAATAACCGCCCACCCCAGATGGCTGAGATAGATGAGGAAACAGACATCAGAAACATGAATCGGCGAGTCGCTCCTGCAGCTCCTTGGTTAAGAGGAAGCGCTGATTGAGCGGCCGATGATGGTGAAGAGTGTGCGGTTAAAGTTGTAACGCGTTTTCAGTTTGAGATTGACTTTACGTGAATCCGCACATTCTACCAATCATGACTACAGTGTGTGGTACTATCATGTAAATAACAAATCCTGCTACACCTACCATCATCCAGTACGGATGAACGGACTGTCAAATATGGGACATTCTTTGAGTTTTTGTGGTCGACTGAACTACTTACTACAGGCATCGTCCGCCGCGGACGAGCTTTTCTCTTCAGCGCAAGTTCTTTTTCTGCTTTTGTGGCTGGCGGTTGTGGAACTGGACCATAGCGATACGTATAGAATGCATTAGGAGTGTGGTGGATCACTTCTTGTCTTCCCATGATTCCCTCCTTCATTGCTTGACCCCAAGTCTCTGCACGTTGGAACTTCGTCGGATGTCGCGCCAGTTTGAAATTGTTCCGTCGGGGATCTTTAGGATGAAATGTTGTTGATGTGCCCCACTGTGAGTCAGACGAAGGAGGTTTCTTCGGATCGCAGGAAAAGGAAAGTTGTCGCCGCTGAAAAACGGATGAAGGGCGCAGGAATCCCGCCGTATGAATGTGTAGTGATGATGGTTTTATGTTGTTCCCACATTTTCCAACCGCTAGAGAAACACTTCGATTCATAAGATCAACTTCAGGCACCTTGCGTGTTCTTGACTGAAACTGTTAAAATGGAATGTTTCCATCCAAACTCTCCAGTGACATACCGAATTCTCTATGGAGTGAGTCTTACACGATCATATATACAGTCGTACGTTTGTTTCTATATATTGTGCGCCCTTGTTTGCATATGGTATCAGCTCAGTGTACGTTACCTTAGCTCACTCTCCTCCCACGATAAACGGGAAGAACAGAATGCCGCGAAGGAGAGGAGTTCAAAGGATGAAGCTGAGAATGCCGCGAAAGAGAGGAATTCAAAGGCACTTATTCGGGTCAATACTACTCTGATTGTCCCTCCTCCATTTCGAGCCCCTGAGGTTGATCGATGGGCGAAATACAAAAAACAAAAACGCAAGCAAGAAAGGAATGAACGACTGTCGTACTACGGAACAGACGTGGGTTTCAAGCAACGCGTAAGAGTATCAAACCTGGTAGCATTTCAAATCCTCCTTTGTGTGCAGACGACATATCACAGATTCGTGGCATTGTTTGTGATCGCTACAGCGAGTGCCCCGTTTGTATTTGTGAGGGGAATGGAATACATCTACGGTATTGATTGAGCCCTCTGCCATGAATTTGCAACGGGGATTCAGTGAATATCTTAGACAAGTAGCACTACACTTTGGTCTAGACAAGTAGCACTACGCTTTTGTCTTGCTCTCCTGTTTTTTTATTTTGTGAAAGACTCCGTGGATAGTGAGGATTCTCATCGATGTTCACCAAACGCTTCAGAAATTGAATACCCGTCGGTTGAATTTCTGTATCTATGAGGTCCCATCCAGCACGCAAACACCACTATGTTCAGAACTTTTTACTGCTGCGAGATACTCATCGTCGGATTGATTTGGAATCTGCACTGATGATACATCAGTGTCAACATCATTCAATTGAGAGATTTCCGTGACTTTCCGGAGATACACGAGAATGGGATTCGATGCAGATTCAACAGAGATGCTCCAGTCTGATTATGGGAACAAAAACGAACTGTCCTGCTCGCATAATCACATTGGGCGTATGGGCAGACAATGTTCTTCCTTGTTATGGCATGGGGGCTCGCAAACTTGTGTTGCAGCGATTTTTCGTTGAACTCTCTGAGGGTCCTGGTACCCCTGTCTATATATCTTTTCCTTAATGCATCGATCTCCTCGTAAAACCAAACAAAAGCCATCAGCTCTGGAAGTGGGACAGAATGAAACAATCGAAGTGGTAAAGCAGCGTCTAGAAAAGGAACCACAGAACGACATTCCAGTTCAGACAGAAGAAGCAAGCACATCGGAGGAAACAGCGCTCGAATCAAAGCCACCCTTGACGAGATTAAAACTCTCAATTGGATCTCCCAAAGGAAAAGATGCGAAAGTCAATGAGACTGGTGATTTGATTGAGGTCAGTCAGCTTGGGGGGTGTCAGTCGCTTTGGGTCAGTTGGTTTCGGTTACTTGGTTCAGTTGGTTTGGATCGAGTGGATCAATTTTCACAATTCGAACATTTGGTATTCTTGTTGAATTGTGAGTATGAGTTTTGATCTTTTCAGATTTGGGATGAGAATGAGGGGGGGCTTTCGTGGGGTCACAAAAAAGCACGTGATGGCACGTGGGAAGAGAAGTGGCTTCAGCAAAAAAGGTAAAGAGTCATGATCACCAACGAAGATCATTGCATCTATGGTAGTCAGCATCGTGAAAGTGGTGCTCTTCCTGGAGATGTTGAAGAGGTTTCAATCGTTTTTGGCCAAAGTTCTGGGATTAATGGTCGACTCCATCAAAGGTGGACGGCTTGTTGGGAAAATCAGACTTTGCCAGCGAGACCTGGGAGTCCAACACTGGTCTCTAAAAGAGTACAAAAATTGGTTCGTCAATTTGAAGAAGATATGGAAACGATAAAAGAAGTAGGCGAAGTTTCCGCTACCCTCTCAGCGGTTTTTCATGCTAGCATCAATGCTGTCAGCATCTTCATGCATGGTGTTATTGTCTTCATGCATGCTGTTATTGTCTTCATGCATTCTGTTCTTCTATCATTGTTGATTATTGAAGGAATGGAATGAGACGATCGATGAATGCGCTCGACCTCTTTCGGAGGCTTTAAAAACTGAGGACTCGTGGACCCGAAGAGTTCTGACGATAAAATCTGGAGTTCACAAAGCAACGGGGAGAACCTGGAAGGTAGACAGATTGTATTGGCTAACTTGTTGGATTGATTTCCTTGTCAGAGCGTCTCCGATGAGCGATTTCAGCAATCCGTTGAGGGTGAAGAACTCCTTAATGTCACAGAAACGCTCGATGAAGAATCTGGAGAAACGAAACGACATCGATTCCATAGAAGAGAGCGGGACGGAACAGAACGCACTGAAGTCCGGATGTCGACGATCGACGGAGGAAGGACTGTTCTTGTGACTGATGAATGGTGTCGTAATTCTGAAGGAATGAAATGGGGGAAAAAATCTGGAACAGGAGCGGAGTGTGTTTTTCATCACGATAATTCGAATCCCTCTTTTCTGTTGTGTAGTGATGATGAATGGCACTCAACGTGGTTCGAACGGCCTAACGGGGATCGTGAGGTTGTGGAATGGAAGCGAGGGGTCGAAGGAGTTCGTGGAGAGAAATCGGGTTTCAGTCATAATGGAGAGAGTTACGACGAAAGGTGAGTTTGTCGCGAGCTAGAGCAACAGAGTTGAATTGGATTGCAGATGGGAAACACTTGAGCATCCAGTTGGGACTCAATTAGAACGGCGCTCTTATAGCGATAAATGGTGGAGTGGGAAAGGAGATCAGAAATGGGGTGAAAAAAGCTTAAAACTTGAGAAGATAGATGAGGATTCGGTGATGATGGAAAGTCATGTAAGTGATTGGATTAAGAGTCTCATTCAGTTTTGATTTCACAAACGGGATTTTATTGTTAGTTTGGCATTACAGGTTGTTCGAGAGAAATGGTACGACAACACGGTAGAAAAATCAGTTGATAACTGGAAAGTTGATAAGGAGTTCGAGAAGACGAAAGAAGGGACTAGCATACCTGTCCGTCTGGTGAGCGTTGTTTGCGTAGTTCGGATTAACAATATTATTTAGACCATTTTGAACTCGACGTTTTGTTGATAGGTGGAGCATGGGTACAAACTTGGCGATCGCTATGCTGATGGAACTGAATGGGGAGAACATTGGGGACGTGTTTATGAAAAAGGAGAATTAGAAGGAAAGAATTTAGAAGAGATTGAAAGCCCACGTTGTGATGAATCTGAAGGTGTTCATGGCGTTGTGTTGAGGATGCGACATCAGGACAAATGGTGGAGAGAAACGAATGGGAATAAATGGGGAGAAAAGAGGTAGAGAATGACAATTCGGGAAGAAAGAATTAATTCCATGTCATTCAGGTTTGTCGATTTGAAGTTGAACGAAGAACGAAATGAGAATTGGTACAACAATGGAAAGGAAGAACAGGTCGATAGGTGAGGAATGTCACTTAGTTGGATTTTGTATTTATGGATTCATTTACTGTTGATTGATGGCAGATGGGAAATCAGTGAAGGTGGGATACGTCATGGAGAAAAATTCGGCAAAGCTGTTGATGGATCGCGCGAATGGAGAGAAAAGTGGTCGGAGAAGAATGATGACTTCTGGATTGATAAACATTGGACTGAACAACAAGAAGGAGGAAGGAACGTGCGATGGGGAGAAGTGGAAGGAAAAGAGGGAGGGAAGAAATGGAGACAGAAATGGGGCGAGGATAAAGTAGGAAAGTTGTAGGATCTTTGATTTATAGAGAAGCTGTTGTGTTGTTTATCAGCATGTTGATTGTGATGCTGGTCATCGATATGTTGAGAAATGGGATGATGATGGATTTGGGAATATAAAAACACTAAAAGAAGGTGAAGATTGGGTGTAAGCTGACAATTTTTAGAAACTGATTCTCTGTGAATTGATGTGGATTTTGTTTGAAATAGACCTTCTTTTTTCTAGAGATGGAAGAACAGTCAACTGGTTTTCCGATCGCTACGGAGAGAGTTTGGGTAAAGGAGAGAAGTGGGCGGTGAAGGAGGGAACGACTGGTGACGGTGATGCGTGGATGGAAAAATGGAACGAATCTCCAGACGCCAAAAGCGCAGAGAAGACTGGAAAGAATAAGTGAGACGCAATGAATCGCGATGTTGTTGATTTTGATTGTTTTTTTTCAGGCTTGGTGATGAGTGGAAAGAAATTTGGAAGGAAACCATTGAAAGCGATAAGAAAATCAAATGGGCTGAAAAAACGGGAAAAAATCCGAATGTACGAAAATTGAGGAAACTCGGCAGTTGAATGCGAATGTTCTGGTTCTTGATGCCTCGTCTGTTTTAGGGAGAAGAATGGCTTGAAACGTGGTGGGAAGAAGGAGATGAAAAGAAATTTGCTAAAAAGATCGGTGAGTCGCTCTCGATGATCAAAATTCTGGATGTATGTTGCAGGAAAAAATAACTCTGAGGAATGGAAGGAGGAATGGGGAGAAGAAAGCCATCCCAACGGATCTGGGGAGAAATGGACGTCAAAATGGGCCCGAAACCGGACAACTGGAGAAGCTAGAGGAGAGTCGTGGGGTGATACATGGAACGGTGATGCTGGTGGACATCATTGGGGCGAAAAATGGAACAACGATCAAGTTGAAAAGTGGTGGAAGGATTCTGCAGGAAAGCCAGACGGATAGAATTCGATTTGCGAGTTTTTTTCGTTTCTTTTTTGTTTGATTGTTGTAAATATTGCTTCATCTTTCGGTCAAGATGCTTTTTAGGTGTCAAAAAGGTTCTCCATTCAAATCAACGAGAACTATTGGAACACTCACTGTTGGTAGAGGAAGAAAGAGAAATCCTCTCAGTGTTCAGAATCAACTCTTCAGTCCTGTCTCCCCAGTTGTTCTTCCAGAAGCAGCGAAATCGGTATTGCATGAGACAGCATATACATCCGTTGGCGGCCTTCTTGAGGCCGTCCATCGCTTGCTTGTTGCTGATTATGTCCCTATCACGAGGATGCAGCCGCTACAAGCCCAACCCAAGGCACATAAAAACAGTCCCAAGTATTTTGAGGACATGAATAGAAAATCAGTCAGCCTACCGACCATTACAGAACCAGGCGAGCTTCACAGACGATTAATCAAGTTACAATGGATTGGTTTTTTGCAACAACAAGTCAAACGTACAGGACCAACGGGGAGGCACATCTCCGACCAACTTGATCAGTTTATGCCCCCTTGGAGCTCGCAGGACAGTCTCGCCCTCCAACTAGACAGAAATACGTTTATCAATGCAGTGACTGAAGCTGCCGCATTGGCTTCCGATAGTGGAAGGGATTGGACAGAAGATAAATATATGTTGGAGCGGGCTCTCTATCCAGGTAAGAGAAGGGGTCTATTCGGTGGAACAAGTGTTGTTGCAGTTCAGGTCTATCGTTTGATTGATGCCAATACGGATGGAGTGCATATTGCAGAGTTGTTCGCTATCTCAAATTTGGAGGCATCAGAACTCCCTCCTTTAGCTGCGAATCTTTTTCAGGTTTTAGGAAAACGTCAGCGGGACAAACCGCAAGCTGCTAGGTGAATTTAGACACATATCGAGTTTTCAGCTTTGATACAATTCTCATCGGTCGGGGTATTCTATCAATGTCTGTCTGTTGTACATCAATAACGCCCGATTGTCACCATGTAGGGCGCTATAAACATATTGTTGAATTTTCAGGTTCTCAATTAGTGAGCTCGAGCCATTTAGATCAACATTCGAGCAATTGATCGAAATGGCAGACCAACTGTTTACTGAATATATTTTGTTTGAAATGAAAGAAGAAGGAACAAATGGAGCGGAAAAATTGAAGGAAGCGATTCATCAGAGAGAATTAGAAAGAAGGACAAAAGCAATTCAAGAATTGAAACGAATTCCGTATCCTGGTGAGAAGCGTAATCCGAAAAAAGGAGCGAAGAATTTCTATACAAAGCTGCCGTCAATTGATGTCCTACGAACGCCAATGTCCTCTAAATTGAGGGCACGCCTCACCACTGATTCCGATTCGTTCCTAGAAGTGATTGGCCAGAAACTATTGAGTTTGGCTCTCTATCATTTTTTGCCAAACCTGCAAGAGAGGCAAGAGAGAAATGACAACGCAGGAAATCCTGACTTACAAGAGGCAAGTCCCAAGTCAAAGTCCCAAAGACAGAGCAGCTGTATTGCATTCTTTGATCAGATTCTTCTTAGAAACTCCCACAATCCACCCACAGCCGCAATTGTGACAGAAGCGTTCGGTCTTCCTGTGCGCAGTGATGAAACATCAGAAATCCCCCGTTCAATGAGCCCCGATATGAAATGGAGACTAAAGTACTTGGCACCCCATGTTGGAGAGGGACTGCTCTTCAATCGATCAGTCTTTCCAACTTTACAACAATTTGAGGAAGTAAACTGCATTATCCTTGATCTTTCTATTAATGTCATTTTTTCAAGATCCTATCTGAAACTCCCCTTCCAGGAAAGCCTTTCTTAAATTATTTAGCCTTCTGTGATTCAGCAGAAGCCTCTGTCATCGATTACTGGTAAATGCGAAGTCATACTGTCAGCCATCCACCAAGTCAGAAGCTACTCGAGCTCACTTCAGGTGGAATGGCCTCACAGCAATGGACGATATTGATGTCAAGTGGCGACTCAATAATTTGATGTCTGTTGAAGAATTTGCTGGTTATCAAATCGGTGCATCAGCGAGACAGCCTCATTCAATTGTTATCACGCAGGAGTTGTTGCACTCACTTCACGGATATCTTCATTCTATCTCTCGTCATTACGCCCAAGGTCGTCAGAAATTGAGTGTCGCACTTGTGGGAAGTTCGGCAGCCCGCTGGGGTTGGTTTCTTCGATGCAAGGAAGCGGTAAGGCTCAAATGGACACAAAGACAAGGGGTGTCCCTGGGACAAGGGATCCTCTGTCCCTGGTAGACTTGTCCCTCTGTCCCTATCAGAGGTATCCATCGACTGCATTGCTTGGGACTTCCTCGTTCTCGTCTCCTTCTCCAAAGCTGAAATTCATCCCTATTGCTGTGATGTAAACCAATTTTTAAGGCAATCAAAATGAACAAATCACCGTTTCTTGCAGGCCCGATTCATTCCAAGATCCAGACCGACCGACTGAGAGCATCGACGGTAACCAAGACAACCATTCAAATACCAATCGCTTTCTGATTTATCAGACACCCTTCGCCTCCCCTTCATTTACCACAAAACGGGTAATCAGCTTTAGAACGTTTGGAACACTTCTCATCTATTTTGCAGGAGCCGTCGGCTTCCCCTATTACGATTTTGATAATCTGAAAGGCGCATTAGAACGTCATCGTCCAGAGTGAGACTTTCTTGTTTTGCCTCATTGCTTGATGCTTCCGTCAGTATCGTCATTTGCTTTTGCATGCCACCTGACATCGATTGGAGCGTGCATTTTAGGACAGCAACATCTGTTAAGGTATTTTTTAATCCAAGCATTCAAACAATCACATTTTTCAGGAATATCTTTTATTTGGCGCAAGCGATTCTGGTACTAAAGCTCGTTTATTTCAAAACGCTTTTTTGGTTGTCAGACGGATCTGGTCATTTATTTGACACTTGGGGCTTCAAGACTTTCTTTGACGTCAGTTCATTTTTATTTCTTCTTTCTTTCCTCTCTCTTACATTTTACGCATTGTTCGTTTAGAAACCACGATTAATACAATCGGCGAAACTTATTAAAGACTATCATTGTACCCCTCCCTACATCCAGGAGGGATTCAAGCGTTTTAACCTTCAAGGTACTTCATTTCCGACGTCGTTTTCAGTGAAACATTGCTGTACTCATCCATATTCTGATCCTCAGAGCTTTCTTCTCTGGTTATTAGCTCCCTTGACTCTCCCGGTGTGTTGTTACTTCATGTCCCTGCAGAGACGATTCTTTGTGTGTAGAGGCTGCTGGGCACTCCAATGTTGTTGCCTTTCGGCGAATTTTTTAAACCATTGTGACTTTTCACGAGACGCTTGACAATACTGTCGTTTCCGTCCCGCCAACATGTCAGAATCAACAAACACAAAAATGAGGGCAGACGGTCCATCTGTAAGGCTGACAGCAAAAAGCCGCCAATTTGAAGAAGAATCCGAGATCAACGACGTTCGGACAGAATCGCTGAATCCGTCCCGACTTCATCAGAACTGTCGCGAATCAATTACGTCCCTCGCGTTCTTCTCTTCGCGTGTTTATTGGTGCGCTGTGGATTGGACAACCCTCTTTTATGTTTTTGTGAGTAGTTATTGGCATTTATTCAATGTTTATAACCTTGGATTTAACATTCAAGCCGTCATAGGACTAGTCCTGGCATTTTTGATCGTTCCATCATTGCTTTTTATTCATCCCCTACAAAGCTGGTTCAAGTCATTGCATGGACTTCTAATCAGCCGTTTGGTTTCTATCGTGCTTCTCTCATGCGCAATCCAAGTGCAGGAGTCCGTACGGACGGTCTTTTGGGCTCTCAACACCGGAATAACGCTTTTCCGCTTTTTGATCGTCCCACTCTCAGCAGAAGGCTGTTCACTGCAATTCCAGTGGATCGAGTCAACTCTGGGATTGGCATTTTTGATTTCACTACGGGCGTTATTTTGGAGCTTCCATCCTCTCGACATGATGGAATCGCTCATCATCCCAATTCTGTTTCTCTTTATCGCACTTCTTGCTGCAATCGTTATCTTTGACTTTTCACAGCGTCATAGAAAACTCGCTGCAGTCCCTCATTCCCTGTCACCAACCCTGGCCGTGTTCTACGGTATTTTGGGGGGTTTGGGAACATCAAGTGTTTTGTTTCTGGTTGTTTATATGTTTAGTTCCGATGCGATGATACCCCGCTTCACCGGGTATGATCCCGTTTCATTCGGACCACCAATTATTTTCTGTTTTTGTCTGGGGTGTCTTTTTCAAATTCTTATCGCTATATTTCGAGACTCTAATTCAATTTTCATTCCCATTTTTCAATTTTTTGCATTTGTAGTCTTTATCGTTGGTTCCGGCCTATTTTCGACAGCACGGTCCCAGTCTAGTTATAGCGAGCATAGTGGCGCACACGACATCCTCACCTACGCATCGACCGGTGTCCCATCTTCCTATGCTGGGGGCTGCTTAGTTGCGTTTTCATTTCCTCTGATATCTGATGTCCCTGTGATGATGCTTCGCCATTATGTCCAAGCGACAGCAAGCTCATGGAAACGTTGCGGCATTTCCGTTCTTATGGGGCTGTGGATGATTCTGACGTTTGTCTTCCATCTCTGTTGGTTTGTGGGCCCCTTCGTTCCTGGACTTGGAGATGCCTTTTGGTCTAACGAAGTTGCAGTTTTTTGGTGGATTTTATCCCCATTCCTTCTCTCTTTTCTCGTGGGTGTCATCGCTCCTATAATCATTCAACGAAAAGAGACGGAAAATATAGCAACGTCATCCGCGGAATTCGACGATATTGAATCCAGGACACGGAACACAACAACGTCACATCGGGCTTATGGGACTCCATTTCTCTTTCTGTTCTGCATCGTTTTTTTGGTCTTCTTGCCCGCTGTTCGAGAACGTGGTTATCATTTTTCTCAGCGGGGAAGCAGGCTGGTGAGCGATAAGCTCTCTGTTGTGTCCTACAACATTCAAGGGGGTCTCTCTCTCTATAATGGCGACAATCTCGGTTATCCGAGCGCTCAGCGAATTGATGAGTGGGACGCTTTCCTCGGTGGAGTTCATCTATGGGGCATTCAAGAAAGCGACACAACTAATTTGCTGCACATGAATCGAGATTTCATGTCATTTTTCACCCGCAATACGAGATTCTATTCAAATCCCGGTAAGTAGATGCTCTGATGTAAATAATCCACATGAATGTAACGCAGACTATAGATATATGAATATATGGTACAGAAGACTATAGATATATGAATTACAGAAGACTATGGATATATGAATATATGCTACAGAAGACGATAGATACATGAATATATGCTACAGAAGACGATAGATACCTGAATATATGCTACAGAAGACGATAGATAGATGAATATATGCTACAGAAGACGATAGATAGATGAATATATGCTACAGAAGACGATAGATAGATGAATATATGCTACAGAAGACGATAGATAGATGAATATATGCTACAGAAGACGATAGATAGATGAATATATGCTACAGAAGACGATAGATAAATGAATATATGCTACAGAAGACGATAGATACATGAATATATGCTGCAGAAGACGATAGATATATGAATATATGCTACAGAAGACGATAGATATATGAATATATGCTACAGAAGACGATAGATATATGAATATATGCTACAGAAGACCATAGATATATGAATATATGCTACAGAAGACTATAGATATATGAATATATGCTACAGAAGACTACAGACACATGAACACATGGTACAGAAGACTATAGATATATGAATATATGGTACAGAAGACTATGGATATATGAATATATGCTACAGAAGACTATAGATATATGAATATATACTACAGAAGACGATAGATATATGAATATATGCTACAGAAGACGATAGATATATGAATATATGCTACAGAAGACCATAGATATATGAATATATGCTACAGAAGACTATAGATATATGAATATATGCTACAGAAGACTATAGATATATGAATATATGCTGCAGAAGACTATAGATATATGAATATATGCTGCAGAAGACTATAGATATATGAATATATGCTGCAGAAGACTATAGATATATGAATATACATAAGACTATATACATGTGAATGTATACTACAGAAGACTATAGATATGTATGGTTAAGGGTGCTTGCGTTGTTATGTAGGTGCGGCCAGCTTCTTGGGAACTCCAGGCGTGGCCCTTCTGACGTCGGAAAAGGTCGAGGGCCCCTCGTGCATCGCCTACCAAGAGGAGGAGAACCACTGAACAGGCTTCTGATTACGGGCGTGTACCCATGGAGAAAGTATCCTGCGTCTGAACCAATCTCAAGGGTTTTCATAGGAATACTCATATGAGCGCTTTCTCAAAAGATGCAAGAAAAATCCAATTGGATGCAATTGAGACTCTTCTTCCAACAAAAGGCCCGCTAATACTGATGGGAGATTTCAATGCAAAACCTGAAATGGTGGAACCAAGCATTACGAACCGCACTGGTCTCATACGCGTTCCGTTAGATCCTTCTCGACCAACAGAAACGGCTGGATATGATCATATTGATCACATTTATTACCGTGACTTGTGTTTGTTGAAGTATGGAATAGCTGGAACGGCTGGTATGAGTGACCATATGGGCTGTTTGGGCAGTGTTCGATACTCTCGATCAATGTTAAGACATCTCAATGTGTAAGCAGCTTTGAAAGAGTTTTCATATTGAAGTTTTTAAACATTTGACACATTCTATTTTTTTAATGCGACTCTTTTCTAGATGTGCTTTTCTCTTTGTTTGCAACAGTCACAGTTTTAGATAATCAATTAGAAAATATCCTTTTGCCAATAATGGAGAAATGGCTATTCATTATTGGTTATTTGATCCAGGTGGTGGGATCCTTGCTTCTCCTCGTAAAAGTATGGAGCAAAAAGTCAGTGTATGGACTATCAAGCGACACACAAATTTGCTTCCTCATTTCCACATTAAGCCGAATTGTGTGGTCAATGGACACTAGACTAGTTGAAGTAAGTCTTACATTCTATCTACACTGCTGCATCTTCTTCGTCAGACATATTTAGCTTATGCTGAATTAGCATCATCGACTGTCGTCACTGTTTTGCTTTGTTTTTCCGTATGGAAATTTCGGCATACAACGACGAAAGAGGCTTGGTGGCCTTTACGTTCGATGGTATTGGGTCCAATCGCTTTTGTTCTTGCTGTACTTTTCCATCCTGGAAGCGCAACAATATCATTGCAAGTCTTGGTGGCTTTCACAATGTATATTGAAGCAATGGCGTTACTTCCTCAACTCTATTTGATGAGGAAAATGATTGAAGTAAGCCCGTTGTTAATCAGTGTAATATAAACGTAAACAATACTTCCTACCAATGATTTGACATCTCTTATTGGTTCTTGTCAGGTGGAGCCATTAACTTCTCATTATGTTGGCATCCTCGTTCTATCGAGGATTGTGCGCCTTGCCTTCTGGTTTTCGTTATTTATGCAAGGAGAGCACTTCATAGGGCTTTTTGTGGCAGATCTACTGCATACATTACTTGCGGGTATGTTTTCAATAGTTGAACAATTTCATTTGGTTTTCTCATTATTAGGTGACTATCTTTATATTTGGTGCCGCAAGTTACGAACTGGCGGGGCCCTTATTTACAAATTTTAGATCTTAGATGTCTTTTTTGAAACTAGAACATTCCTCTGATGTGCATGCTAACACTTGGACCACTTTCTGTGCAAACCTGATGGGGACGTTTCTGAAACCCTTTGAATCTGGAGGAAGTTTGCAAGGAGACTCTTCAGATGGAAAAACTGCAGTACTTAGGGCCGCACGGGCTGGCGATGAACTTTCAGCGAGTTGTGCAGATGCGCCAAATGCAAAAAATATGTGAGATGGAAAAACTGCATCAACTTCTAAGAAGGGTTGTGTTTTCTCAATAGATATGAGATTTTCCTGGAAGGGTTGAAAGTAGCTGGGCAGACCGCGTACTGTTTTGGATCTGTATTGGAAGGAAAAAAGAATTATAATTGGCTCAGTTATGAAAATGTAAGAAGGAGAGAGAGTGATGACTTTAATGGTTAGGCCATCATCGTTCGTTGCAAGGTGATGTTGTTGTTACTAGGTTAAGGAACAAGTACTGAGAACGGGATCAGCCTTGTTGTTAGAACTTCCCCCAATAGCAACTTCTGCTGATGAGGTTGCGAAGGAGAGAGCACATGTCAGTGGAGAAGGAAAAGACGTTTTTGAAAGTGATCCACACAAAGATAAACTTCAACAAATTAATAAAGAAGACTGCTGCAGTCCTCAAGTGGATTTTTTTCCTGGGAGTTCCGTCAAAAGCCCAACATCCTCAAACCCAAGCGCCGTTATTTTGGAGCCAGTTGTGAAGCGTGGAAACCAATTCGATTATCCTGCGGCCAGAAGATGGAAAACAGTTGGAATATTTGCATCTTCAAAACAAAGAAAAGAGTGTCTGATCACACTCCTTGCTGGTGGGTTCTTGTGTTTTCATCGTGTTGCCATGCGTCTCACTCTCAGGGGCCGCTTTTAACGTTACTGTCATCTGGTTGAGTCCAACACTGAAAAAAGAAGATGTTGTCAGGATCCTCAATAAAACAAGTGGGAATCATGTTAGTTGTGTTTGTTACGGTCGTGTTACTTGTCAGAAACTCGAGCGGTTATCGGCGATAGTGTCGACATCATGGGACTTTTCGATTATATCAAGTCGCAAAGCCCAGACTATCAGCCTCTACGAACACTCATCTCATTTGGGAATGTGAGCACTTCATTATATCTTATGGGACATTATTTCATGTATTACATCATGTAGATTTCTGCTTTCAGGTTCCTGCTTCTGTGAAGCTTGATGCGAGCAACTATCAACTGAGGATGATGACTTGGGTGAATCTTTATGAAGTGAGCCGCGGAAAACTTCTTTCACCGTCTTCGTCCGCTGGCAATCAACTTGCTGCAGTTGTCTTCAGTAAGGATGCACAACTGTTCTCTCACAGATACTCCCTTCTATCCAGAGCGCGCAGACATCAAATTGATGCGTGGCCAAATTCCATCATCTCAGGATATCCAGGGAGTGATGCTCAGTCATCGTAATCTAGTTTCTGCTGTCTCGGGTTTCCTATTCACAACCGAATCAAGTCTTTTCAACAAGGTGAACTACTGGAATTATGAATAAAATCATAAATATAATTATTTCACTGGAATTATGAATAAAATCATAAATATAATTATCAATCATCATCTCTTTTAATTCTTCACTTCTTTCTCCATTTCAGGAGACTGTTCATTATTGTAGAATTCCGTTGTCTGATCCCCTAGAAATTATTACTTGTGTCGCTACTCTGATGAGAGGGGGTCGAATCGCTTTCTCCTCTCTCTCAGGATTGCATTCTTCTTCGTTGTATTCATCTCCAACTTCAGAAGATTCTTTTTTCAATCAAGAACTCCTCCCTGATCTCGAATTAGCACGGCCAACATTCTTACTTATTCATCCACGATTTGCAGTTGAAATTCATCGAGAGGTAAAATCGATTTTGTAAACCTTCAATATGCTTTCTTAAGTATAAAATAATCGATTTTTCAGTCGATTTCAAATAATCGTCAAATTTCAATAATTACAGATTCTGGAATCTCTTTGAAATGCCTTTCATTAATGATTCCCGAATTCCTCAGATTTTTCTACGCACTACTGTCGAGCGATCTGGATTTCGTGCAAGAAAGTTTCAATCCCTACTGGAGCGACGAGCAATGAACGTCGAGTGTGGGAATCTGAAGTCATTGGGATCCGGGTTTTGGGACAATGTGAGTAACTCGACTATCCTATCCCTTCCTATTCCTTCGACTTTCAGATTCTTTTTAAACGATTTCGATCTCTTTTAAGTTCATCATTGAGGGCTATGGTCTTCACTTACGGAACCGATCCCCAAGTCCTTCGCTCGTTACAAGTTATTTTTCGACTTCCAATTTACACAATTTATGGAGATCATTTTACTTCTGGAATTTCATTTCTAAATTCTGAATCACCGACAAAAGAATCGAATCAGTTTAACCAACTGCTTCCAACGTTAGGTAAATATTTTCAGGTCGCGTCATCATTTACAGCGACAGGTTGATCAATCTCGTGAATGCATAGTCACATTAGCTCTAGCATATCTCTTAAGTCCTCGTTACTTGTATTGACGCAAGCTGACAATCTCCTCTCATATCCATTTCACAAGGTTCTTCTGATGCATTCTCGTTACCTTTGTGTCTGCAGAACTTCAACCAATTGATTCAAGGTAGAAAGTGTAACAAGATGCGGGGTTCAATGTTCTTCAGTCAGACACAACTTCAAATAAGAGGCAATTCCGTATCTCCTGGTGTCTGGAATTTGAACTATGAAGATGGCGAAACCTTGTCATCTCCCATAGATGAAAATGGATGGTAAGACTTTTGTGCTTCGGAAGAGATCCATCTCTACTTCTGGGGTTCACTCACTATTGGAATTCCCTCACGGCCGTTCCTTTCTGCTCAGGTATCGACCAGGAGCTCAAATAACAGTCTCGGATAAATTTGCAACTATCACGGAAGCAGATGGCAAAGTACTTCCAAACATAAACCATCCTCTGAATTGAATGTCTTCTCAGGCTTCATCTACCTCGCAATACCTGAGAAGTCCCTTTATTCATGTGACTCAGGAAGTCCGTGCTAATTAATCTATTGGTTTCTTTTGATTGGATGATTGCAGATTTCTGAGGCGGAGATTATTGTGGTGCCTTCCCGTCGTGTCCTGGACGTCTGGGAGAAAAAGAAGAAGCGACCAGAACTCGAAGAATTGCTTCAAACGGTCAGTTGCTTCAACTGCGGCAATTTCAAGCTTCTCTATGCTCCCAGGAGATCGAGCGATTTCATGAGAAGTGCAACCTCAAAGTGAGAGTCAAAGGTTTCTCCTAATCTGCTCAATTCTTTTTGAAATTTATTTTTCATTATATTTTTTCGTGCCTAGTCATTGACGCAGTTTGACCCAGAGTCACAGAAATTGTCTTTAATCTCATTTTCATGTCAAAGACATTTTCACTTGAAGATCCAAGGCAGGTCTCATTCCTCAAACTCAAGTTTTGATGGAATCTTGTTTTCGATAGAGCTCAGATTTCACACAGGCTCTCATCAAACGGATATTTCGTGGTGCAAATATTCTGGGCAAATTTTCCTTGACGTCGAATTGAATGCTTCATTAAACACCAAGCAGCAGGCCGTCAATATTCAAGTCCGTCTTTTGTTCACAAGGCACAAACCTCAACGCCCTGCTTCAACAGGTATTTGCAGCGCGCGCTCTTCGCTCCACCAGCTTAACGGCTATTCGTGTTTCAGGGAGTTTTTTGCGTTCCAAATCGGTCCTCGGTGTTTCCAGCCTTACAAAACTTTTCCTCAACCAGGCCGTTCAAGATGATATTTTAGGAACATCTTTTTCTTGACCTCGGTTAAAACAAAGTTGCTGCACAAACAAAAACAGCTGTTCTCTATCCATTTCCTTCGTAGCCAATATTTCCATCATCATGTATGCGATGCCAGGCGCATTCAGTTCGATGGGGATTTCTCCAGCCGATCCTCATATTCAACACCTAGCTAAAGTGAGTCATCCGAATCAGTTCAATTATTTATTTGTGCCGCTTAACCGCAGCTTGCATCTCTGTCTATATCATCACTCTATCCGTCAGCCCATATACCTTAGCGCGTGTCAGTTACTGCACTGTGTTTCAATATTTTTTTTAAGAATTACATCTCATTCCTTTCTTTCAGCAAGTCCGTGAAGAAACGGTCCAAACGCGAACGAAGGCATTGATCGCAAATGGAATGGCGGAGAAAGCGGCTCGTCAAGAGGCTGAGCGTTCCATTTCCTCGGACAAGAATATTTTTCTCCAACAAGCAATGTTGGTAAGCTAACTGTTTTTTAATCAACGCGCGCTACATTATCGTTTCAGAAATACATCGAAACGCTTAGCGGTGCAAATTCTGTTTCGACCCCTGCGTACTCTCCGTGGACGGCAATGTTCACACAACAATTTCAGCCCCCTCTTGCTGCACCTCCCCAACTTTCTGGTATTCCTCCCCCTTCTCCCGTTTCTGGTGTCCCCCCGTCATATTCTTATCCCACACAACCAAATTCAAAGCTCCAGCAACTGCTTCAGGGTATTTCGAATGTTGTTGCATCAAAATCAATTCCTAGTAAGCCAACTGCTCGATAGTCGTAAAATCGTTCAGATTCCTCCATGCTACAGCAACCCAGCATTCAAATGAATCAATTGATTTAACCCATTCATCCTATTCTGATTTTTTGATCATGTTCTCTTAGGTGTGACGAACACAGGTCCAGCTGATGTGATTGCTGCAGCACACGCTAATCTGTCTCGCTCACGGTCCAGTCGCTTTGATATTTCGTCTTCTCCTCCATCAGCGGCTCCAATGGCACCTCAAGAATCCTATCAATCCTACACACAAAGCTTCTCCCCGTATCCTCCCCAAATGTTCAATTTGCAGGCACAATCAAAACCCCCAACCTCTCTCGTCAATGTCGATGCTCTCCTTCAAGCTTGGAAGTATCAAGTATTTAATTCTCATAGAGTACGCCATAAATCAGTTTCTCGATTCTTCTGAACTTCTTCTAAATCTCAATTCTTCTCATCTTCTTCTAAATCTCAATTCTTCTCATCTTCTTCTAAATCTCTTCTTTTTTTATTCAGACTGCCCCGCCAGGTTTACAGGGAAATGAATGGAGATCTCGATTGAAGCTCTTTGTTGAATGTCGCGATCGCCAAGTACGAGAGACACATGCTACACCTCATTGGTTGAGAGATTGTTTAAAACCGACTGTCGATGAAATTCTCAACGAAACAAAATCAGTGGGACTACCAGATATCCCTCCGCTCTCTGTTTTCTCTCCCAATCCTCCTCCCCCAGCGACAGATAGTCTGTCTCCAGTATCGTCTTCAGATGACTCATCCACTCAAAGTCGTTCTAAACATCGAGGTAGGTCCTTATTTAAATCTTGATTAATCAAACATGTACCTTATAAAAACATCTCTTTAATCGTCGTTCTGAGCGTCTATGATGAATGTGTACTGATGCTTCGCTTTTCTCATTCTGTCTTTCTCGTTCTGTTTAGGAAAACGTCGTCGTTCAACAAGTACCTCATCAATGTCCAAATCTTCGACATCTTCCGTGCCGAAACGCTCTTCTCTTTTCGAAATTGACAAACATGGACACAAAAGGGTTCGTCTCTCTGTCCCTGAAGAATATATTCAATTGGGAAATCGAACTGGAAGAAAGAAAAAAACAAAAGCAGAACGAAAAGCTTCCCGAATCATGACGACAGCCGAAGAGAGACGAAAGCGCGATGATCGTCTAAGAAGGTTTGGTTGTGATGAGCCTTCATCAAGTCCATTCTTTGATCAAGAGGTGGGTCTTGTAATGGGATATGAGGAGATTGGGACTGATTGGATTGGACGCAATGGAGTCTTAGTTGTAGGAATCCATTTTATATCTAATGATAACATTGTACCGAGATGGAACATGCTTTCAATTATCTGAATGTTTGATTTTAGGTTTCTTCTGCGTTGACGACATCCGAGGGATTACGAATGATGAGTTGGCAGGAAAAGCTAGCGATGTTAACAAGCAGGGAACGTGTGGTTGGTCTCAGTCAGCTGTTAGAGAAATCATACTTGAGACTGTGTGGACCACCGGATCCAGCGTTGGTAAGGCCCGAAGCGGTTCTAGTGAAATCGCTAAGACATTGCTTAGAGAGATGGAAGAAGGAAAGGGACTATCGCTTCATTGAGGAGCAATTTCGTTCAATACGTCAAGATCTTACAGTTCAAGGAATACGAAATGCTTTCACAACTCAGGTGTATGAAACAAATGCACGTGTAGCTCTAGAAAATTCCGATTTGGGACAGTTTAATCAATGTCAAACTCAACTCAGGGAATTGCATAAGTCCATGAATCTTCCGCTAGAGGAAAGTCATCGTGAAGAGTTCTTGTGTTATCGTATATTATATTTATCTTTGATGAATATGCGGCATGATTTACTGAAACTATCCGGTGAATTGACGACAGAAGAGAAACGACTCAAAGGTGTTCAATTCGCTGATGCGTTTCGTCGAGCGTCTGTTGAAGGAAATTTGCATCGCGTTCTCAAGCTCACTGCAAAAGGTCCCTTTCTGTCGTCAACTCTCATCAATATTTTCATCAATCGACTCCGCATGACGTATTTAGTTTTGATAGCACGGGCTCATTACACCGCAAATTTGTCTTTCTTAAAGGATGAATTAATGTTCAGTACAGAAGCTGAGTGCAAATATTTCTTGAGTCAAGCAAAGGCCGTCTGGACATCATCTGATTCCCTTGATTGCAAGAAATCGTTTCCTTTGTTTGAAGCATCTCCATTATTACAAGCAAGAAAAGTTCAAGCTCTTGGGTAGCACAAGCCTTGTTTTCCGCGTGTCTTCTAAAAACTCTATTAAAACATTTCTCCGAGTTTACGCACAACATTTTCTGCACACACAATACGCTTACATGCACACACGTTCACCTGTTGTAAGTGGAGCTCTCTGTCCAAATCGTTCCTTCCCTTTCATTGTTGTTAATGTCAGTCGTCTTCTCTGAAGCCAAGATGCAGCCAACAATGTCTTCTTCAACTCGCCTTATTTCTGCACAACCAACCCCTTCTGAGGTGCGGCCAGGGTCCACAACACTCCCGGCGACCACAACATATCAGGGAACGACTTATCCTACTTCGACAGCCTACCCTGGCGCGACTCAAACACCTTCCACGTATCAGTCGGTTGCATCGCCACCCCCCACAACTTTTTCCCAATCCACCACTCATCTGGCTCCACAAGCGAGCCCACAAACTATCACCTTCCCTCAAACGACAACTGTGACAACTTCTTATCCCCAAACAACTTCTTATCCCCA